GTACTACGCTCCAAGCTAAGGGCGACGCAGAAACTGCCACCAACCCAATCATGGTGGGGGGAAGTGGGTCGCAAGCGTCAACCGCCAAAGGGGGGAGAGCGTTCCTGTCCACGGGTCTTTTCCCGATGCCATGAAGCACGACCGAAATGCCTTTGTGATTCGGCGGAGTACCCCGATTGATGTGAACCAAGGCACTGCGTGTTCGGAAGGGAGCTTCGAGAGAGATATCAAGTCATGAGTTTGTACAGAGATCGAGAGCTCTATCGTAAAAAAAATTCGGGCCGGGAGCGCTGAACGGTATGCACATTCTCCTCGTGTTGTACTGAATGGGCCAGGCAAGGCTCAGCAGTGACCCTGTGAGCCAGTTGTGAACATCGCAGACACGTACTCGTTACCTTTGGAAACAGAACGCATTGATTGTTGAGCGATATTCGGGGCATTTACTCTGTGGACTATATATCACGCGTCGTTTTTTTCAGGAGCGTGCGAATATAGTCCATGATCCGATTTTCCGTCCCGCGAGGACAAGGTTGCCCTTGGCGTGGGTAGCTCCTTGACCACTCAGCTTGTTTTTCCCGGGAAGAAGTAGTATCCTGTGCGAAAGAACTGTTGGGACAATCGGCATTATGGCAGACTCGCAGTGTGTCGAAGCACCAACACGAACTTCACCACGATCAACGGACCGCTTCAACTATCTCGGGGTGGTTTTGGTATGCATCGGGACCCTTGCGGTTGTTTATTATTGCTCAAGCAAGCATATGGCGTTTAAAACGAAAGGGTTTCGGCGTAATTATTGGCATGAGTTTGTCATGACCATGTCATGAGTGCTCATGATGTACGTCATGTTGCTGCCATGCAATGTGCCCTGACATTGTGACAAAATGTAGGTACTATCCTATGAATATAGAATTGTTGTGACCCCTGTATCGAATTGTTGTGGCCCCTCATCAGTTGTCATGACCTCCCCATCGCATCTCCGTGGCACTTGCTATTTGACATAGACGTCCGTTCCTCAGAATTCATGTCATTATATGCTGCCCGGCTACCGTGGAAGAGTGGGGTGAAACATAGTCTAGACGACCTTGGCTTTATAGCACTGAATGCACGTGGAGAGTTCCAATACACCCCAACTACCCTCGACCGAAATCACAACAAACAGTTGGCCGAACGAACGCACCATCCAGCCCTGTTCCCCTTTATTTCAGTCGAACCTGGGATTTCTCTCGACTATCTGGTTCGACCAAACATTTCCCTAGGGCTATTCCGGCCTAGTTGGCGATGATAGTCATCGCTGCTGGTCGTGGTGGTAGCCGAGGATACCGACTGAGGATACGCCTCTCCCTGTTGCCGCAGGTCTCGAATACGTCCGGGTGCGGAGTCATCCTCCCGTTTCCACTTATCTTTTCCTCGCACGCCCCCCCTCCTTCCACTGGCACCACCACCACCGCTACCGCCACCGCTTCCCCTGTCCCTGCGTTCGCCATTCTGTCTACTACTGTTACTGCGACGTACCCTTGAAGGGGAATACGAGATCAAAGACGGGTCGAGCGCAACTTCTACCGCTCGAAGTAGCGCGAGCCCCGCGTCTCGAACATTGGGGTGGTTTTCTCTTACGAGCGAAAGAGCCGCAGGCCGAACATACCTGCGTTGGGTCGGCATTGCGGTAGGAGGGGGAGGTCGCAACAACGTTCAAATGCCTCCAACGTATGGGGCCGTTGGCTTCTTGGGCATGCGGATACATCTACCAAATTTTCAATACAATTCATCTCTATCGATAAGAGAGATTGGTTTGGCCGGGCCCTACCTCCCTTGTGTCTCTCAATCCACCTGGAGCACACCCTACCAGAGGCAAGCCAACCTTACAACTTCATGTAGGTCGATGCTTTCTGGTTGCCGCGTGTGGGATTAAGTGGAATAGCACGCGACTTTGGTGTTTGCGCCGTTCGGGTGCACGCCCACAATGTTATGTGGGCATGGTGTGCACCGTTGGTCGCGGTTTGCGCGCTATCCCATGAGCAGGTCTCGGATAAGCTACCTGCATACCCTACCTCCGTTTCTGCTGCTATTGTTATTGTTGAACGAGGTAGCGGGATGCTCTCAAGGGTATGTCGGCGGTAGGCAAGCTTAACTATCGCTGGCGCCAAACTTCCCTCACGCCAAAGAATGGCCCTCGATATTTGGGAAGTCTCGGGTGGGCGAAGTCACATACCAATGAGTTTCGAATCTCGCACGGGGCACGCTACTGCACACAGTGGATATCAATGGCAGGAAGGGAGAGCGCGCAACACTCACTTTGTGAGAAGGATCGGCTTGACGTCTCCGACTTCTGGCGTAATCTCCCTCAGGAAGGCCAACACGGGCACCTTTTCAGGAAGAATGCCGCCGCATCAATGCAGTGACAGATACAGACATGGAGGTTTGCGTGGATTATCTCCCAAGCCTTAAGATTTGAAGACGGACCAAGTTGTGTGGGGAATGCGACGAAACATGTCCAAGTGGGATGCATCGAAGATGTGGGTCTAACCAGGCGCGAAGAAGGCAGAAATGACTTTGCTATTGCGTTGGTTGATCCAGCGGCGCCACGCCTGCTGGCGTTGCCACTTCCATCTTGTCACTTTATACTATTTAACAGCAGGGGGGGGCGCAGCCCGATGAAGTTATAACTAAGAACAGGGCTGGAGAACAGCGCTCAATGCTTCATCTGCATCCATGTACGATCTTTGAGCACCACCATTGCTCCGGTGCGTACGTGCGGCAGCGTGACCGCTCAGATTGAAAACGTCAGAGCAGCGGTCTGGTGTGCCTGCAGCACCACACGGCGCAGACGCTTGCTCACCACCAGTGGTCCCTACCTTCAAGCGGGCGTTGCCGTACTGTGCAAGAGAGGCCACAGGCTGGACGAAGAGGCAGGGGTCGACGGCCTCGCACAGCGCGTCGAGCGCTTCCTCGGCCAACGCACTCCGCTGACAGCAAGACAGACCGCGAATACATGGTGGACGAAGTAGACAACGCAACCGCCGGGCGACGAGTTCGCAGCACGCCGAAGCGCCATGGAATATCGTCGGATGGCGACGGAACGGGCGAGGGGGGCGTGAGTAGACTTGCTATTCACGGAAGAGTTGAGGGTCCTCTGGAAACTGGTTGACAAGAGACGCAGGAAAACAAGTGTCGTCGTCGTGTCGAATGATGATCGTCATCTTTCGAGGCACCTGCTGGTTCGAAGAGGCCAGGTTCTTGCACACCGCGGGGACCAGCGTGTTGACCACAGGCTCGAGCTTGCTCCCCATGCTCGCCCCTAGTCGCACCACCCCCTCGAGGGCCAGCAAGTTCACCTGAAATCACACCGTAGCCCACGGGATGTGCGAAGTTTTGCTGCATGCTTATTCAATCCATTCACTGCCTAGAACTCGAGACCGTCGCGCGCTTAGAACACCGAGAGAGATCACCTGGTGCGACCAAGTGGGTGTCTACTGAACAAGTTGAACTTCAACAACGACTGTACTTGCCTTCAAGTTTCCATCGGAGAGTAAGTCCGCAACGCGGTCGACGAGCCTAGCCGACTTCCCGGCGGCATGGAGGTTGTTCCCGTGCTCCTCCAGCAGAGAAGTGGCCTAGATTTGAACATGAGAACATGCGAACGAGAAACTCAACCCGCAGCAAATAGTTCCATTTCGCTGCGGTTCAGATATCCTCATTCCTTTCGAACGCTCGTGCGCATCACAGTTGGTTTACAAATCAGGTTACCCCTTTGCATGGTACTCCCCTGTGCTGCACTTCGTATCCGACCTCTCGTACAACCGCCGAAGGATGGAACCTAAGGGGTACGGCGACTGCTTGCAGCGGCACAGATATATGCCTAACGGTCCTGGTTGTCGTTATTCATTTTATCACTAAGGGTTTGGCAAGAGACAAAGTGCAGAATATTCTGCCCTCTACACCCAACTCTGAACCGATCTAAGTCCGCGCTCATAACGCTCGCATTGCTTTTCGCGCTCTCGCCCATTCCAGAACCGAGTTGACCATGAAATGCAGCAAGGAGTCACCCGAGCACACCACGTGTACCAAACAGGTACACAATAAAAGTGAGTGTGATTGCACACGACTAGACCGACTTGTATGGCCCGATTGCTCCATGATCAAGGGGGTGCCGACGCCGAAAGGTGGCGTTGAAATGATCTTGTCAGGGTGTTCCTTGCATGTATTGGGCGGGTTTCGTACCGTCTTCCTAGGGTAGTGGAGAAATGGATTTCGGTGTAGGGGGTGTGCGACCACTCGCACTCGCACAGTACATGACTCAGGGCCATAAGCCCCCACCAAGAAATACGTGTATCTGAACGACCAAATTACACTCAACGCGAACAACGACCAAACACGCGTCTACCATACCTCTTCCAGCCCTTTCAGACGCTCCCTCCAGTCCCCCGAGTCCAAGCGGGCGTACACCTGTGGCAGCAGTTCTGCTTCCCGACAATGAAATACTTTGGCTTTGCTCGAACGCCTCTTTGCGCTGCTGCTGCGACCGCCGCCGCCGCCGCGTTCGCCGGTACCCCACCTCCCCGGCGAAGAAATCGAAGCCGCCCTTGCCGAGGTGGCAGTGGTGGTCTTGTCGTTTGGATCGCCCGCTCCCCGTTGCGGTCGCGGGTGATATAGCGCTGCGCCGTCTTGCTGTCGTTGCCGCTGGTCTTCCCTGGCGGTATCGGCGTGACCTTCGGCCGGACACTGTCGGAGCGACGCCGTTGGCGGGTTGATACAGGAGTGGTTGGGACTAAACCTTTTTTGTGACTTCAGAAACCGTTGCGCGGTGAGTGGTGGCACTTTGCAGGCCGTCGCCAACACCGTGGCGTGCTTGTTTCTTTCGTCTCAGAAGCAACCTTTCGGTACAACCCGGTTTAATGGCCTCAGTACTCCTGTGGAGTAGTACATGTATGGGCCAACTTCCTCGACTTCCTCATCAGAGTCGCAAATTGATATCTCAGCGATGGTTGGTACGTCCACTACCCTTACAAGTGCTCGCCCGAACCAAAGCTTGGTTTCAGCTTACAATCAAGGATACACATCTCCACAGTTCTCACCCTCCCAGCCCAGTTTCTCGACCGAGGTACCGAAGGTGACGCGCGATGCGGGGGAGTGGACAATGACCCCATTCCCAGGCCCCCCGCGAAGTCACTGCCGCACCCATCGTCATCATCGCTGTCACCAAGCTCGCCTCGTGCACCTTCCTGCTCTCGCCGCCAGCTTTCGCCGGGCGCGGCGGCGATCCACCTCTCCTCACCCCTACCTCCGCCACCGCCGCCGATCCCGGCGCCCTCTGTACGCCTTCTTCTAATGTCTCTGTTGCCATCGCCGACGCCACCGCTTCCACCACGGTGCCCTGCCGTCGGTGAAAAGCTGCTTCCAGGCGAAGAGACCCCGGGGCCACTCGATGACGGCACGGGTCCGGTGGCGCCGAGTCTGCGGCTGATTCTGGCGCCCACGTCGTTGCGACCGCTTCGACTCAGGTAGGAAGAGGAGGAGAACGATGACCCCGCGGAATAGGGGGTGGCGGAAGCGGCATCAGAGTTCGGAGCGGTGAAGCCCGGGCCCGACGGCAGGGAGAAGTTCAGCAGCTCCCGCTGAAGGCGTTCCAGTATCGGGGGAGGAATTTCTCTTCGGAGCCGAGCCTCGTCCACCTCGCCCTGGGAGAAAAGCGACGAGGGGGTAACATAACGAGATTGCGAGGGTCATGGCGGCACAACGGGCGTATGGGTGTACGCTGGAATATGGAAGAGGTGGGTCGGATTCCGGCCTATTGTCCAGAACCTGAGCCGCAATCGTGGTGATCTCACTCTGATTAGCTGTGCTTCGTGGCGACAAGGGGTGTAGGCTGACGGTTGACGGTCGTTGATTGTTCAGCCGGTGGGCGTGGTCCTAGCTGCTTGAAGATACACATTCACACACAAGCACACACCGTGTTCATGAGGACGGTGACGACAGCCTTAGCATGGTGTCTCGTCTCCTGATTCCCATCCTGCGTGTCAAAAACAATGCAGACGTCAATTGAAGGCAGCATATTAAACGTAGTGTACACATCTGAGCGTTGGTTGCTGTCGTCCTTCCCATCCCACCCTCGACACGGACCCTCGAAGCACAATTCCGTGCTGTACCGGCACGACAACCCGCGTGTAAGCGTCGGGAACTTATGAGGACGCGAGAGGACAGGAAATCACTATGATCGACGAAATTCATCGGGTCATGTGAATGTGAATGTGAATTTACCCCGATCTGCTGTCCTGTGTCATACCTGGAGAAACCTCGGCAGCGCAGACAGGAGCCGGTCCATCTCCCTCGCCCCCATGCTCCCAGCGTGACCCGCCCCACCACCGCCGCCATTGCGCTTGTCGATCCTAACGCCACTCCTGCGCGATGAAGCCGCTCCAGACAACTGCAATGGCGCCGTTTCGCTGGTGGGGTGGCAGTACCTCCGCCTCACGCATAGAAGGACTGCCAAGGCGGACTTGGCGCGGACGGCCGGGCTACGGTGGCTCCCGCAGGTGAGGAAGGCAGACAGCGCTCGGGATTCCGTGGCGGTAGCAACGACCTCGTCGACACACTTCGGTGGTTCAATATTGTGGTCAAACAATGATAAGCAGGGTGATTGTGGGCAGAGGAACATGTGATTGGGGGAGGGGAACGTGTTTTGAGACGAAAGCGGCAGCACATACACAAAAACGTATGTTCGATGGTGAGAACAGCGCCGAAGAATGGTCAGGCACACATACGTACAACCTGAAGCGGTGTTTAAGTGTACCTCCGCGCGAGCAATCGTGTTCCCGGGAGTCAGGACAACCCTACCGGCGTTATCCCCAACCCCTCCAACCCAATGTGCGAAACACCCCGTGATCCCGCTCGCATACTCAATCACCCACCTCGCGCGCCGCCTCGGCGAGAAACTCGACCTTGTCGGCCATCTTCTTCACGAGAATCGGGCACACCATGGGGAGCTCCGGGTCCAGAGTGTCCCCCAGGCCTCGCCAAAGGTCGGCCAGGGTTAGAAGCGCGTTCTTCGCCACCTGGAGCACACGCGGCACAAAATGGATGTAGAGTCAAACGCAGACGGTTATCTTTCGACCAAACGATCAGAGGGTCGGGACAGAAGCTGATGCGGGGCCACCGCCACCGACCCTTCGGTGGGCAAGCTCTCTGCCTGTGCGACGGACGTCGTGTGTTCTCGCGCTTCCCGAAACACGCGCGCGTCCGAACCACAATCGATGCACGTTCCGCACCCAATTCAATGCATCGAGATTTCACCAGGGGCGAGCCCAGTATGCAGAGCCCATACAAACACATAACCACTGCAAAGCCGCGGCAAAAATTCGGGATAATTCTCACCTGAGATCGCAGGTTCTCAGACTGCCCGAGCACGTCCCTGACCAGGGCGTGCAAGTGAGACTGCGAGCCGAGGAGGGGCGAGTGGTGGGTCGCCAGTCGCCGGACGGAGTTGAGGGTGTGGAAGATCTCGGGCCAGCCGTCTCGAGGGAGCGATGCCATCGCCCTCTGCATCTCCTGGCTAGGATTGGGAGACGGTCGGATATCCTGCCGGCGGGTGATGCGGCGATGGTCGACGAAAAAGAGGCAGGACCGTGAGGGTTCAAAAACGTATTTTCTATGTTGTAGCATCGGCCCGGCCAACCCTTTGACCAATGAAAAGACGTCAGTCTCAGTGCGGTTGAAACTACAAAGTGCTTCTAATGGCCATGATCTGGGAACCCGTGAGGGGGGGGTCATGGGGGAAGCTAAGCTATTCTCCGGAACACAGAAATGGCAGCAAAAGGATAAACCTGCGCATATGCACTAAGTGCTATGTGTCGCAAGAAAGGCTATAGAGTTTCCTATATGGACATGGCCTGTTTTTGCCAGACCGGGTCGGCAGAAGGTGGTGGGGGCCCTTCGAACAAGAACCTCGGTTGAGCAATTACTTGTTGTTTGTCCTGCAAGGGCGTCCTGGTCATTTGACAAGCACGCTCAGAAACTCGATATTACCACAACTTGGAACCTTTTGATTTTGCCCTTGTTGTTCTGGATGGCCGACACCGGACCTAACCGAAATCATGCACACAATGAACAGCTTGAGACAAAACGGCCGACGTTTCCCCCCTAACCTCGGCCGTGAGGTAGTCGAATGAGTCTGGCTTGATTAGTGCAGCGCTTGGCGACGGCGGGACAACCGTAGCCCGTCCCCCTCCCGACGGCGGTGTCGGCGGCGACGACAGTCTAACCCGGCGCTGCACTCCTCGCTTTCCACGGCCACGGCCATCCCCGCCGGTAATACTGCCTTCCCCCGCCCGTCTGTCCTCGGTCGCCTGGTGTCCGTCGTTGCGGCCGGTAGCGTCGCAGTCGACGCTGGCACGGATCTTGCTCTCGTTCTTCTTTGTCATCATTGAAGGGAAGGAGGAAAATGTATGCACGACGAGAAAAGGGCCTCAGACAGAGGGAAATCATGAACAGCGCGTGCGTGTTTCCGAGTGCGTGCGGGGTTGGACTTTGGTGTGCTTTAAGATGTCCCGGCGGGGAAGAGATGGATGCTAAGATGCAGACGTAGAGGTTTTTCATGCTTTGGTACCATGTAGCTGTACGCATTGATGACATGATCGAAGTTACGACACACATTGTGGCAGTGGGGAGGCGCTCTCTCACGAATAGGCAATCGCTACCCGCACCACCCATCTTTCGGAGAACGGGGTTCAGTTCAAGGGCTGACCTGACACGGAAGCACATGTTCCGTGTCAGGTCAGTTTCGTTTCCGTCGTCATCTGAAAACCCTTCGGGAAAGAGCCGGAACACAACAACAACAAAGAACTTAGCAACACGGTCTGGAAACGTGGACGGGGAACCCATTCTATCCACACCTCGGCGCTCCTTTCCCCCGCTTCCCGCCCCTCCCTCCGCCGCCTGGTTGCCGACGACACCCCCGTCTAGGGATTACAGAAGTTTTAGGGCAAGGGTTGTGCCCAGAAAAGGGTCGGTCCAGGTGTCAAACTTGTCATGGATGATGGCGGCGAAGCAGAGAATGAAGCGGGTGGTGGACAAACTACTTCGTATTTAATAACAACGCCAAAATTCATCGAGAAACGAAAACAACTGTACGTTTTGGGCAGACTTCCAGGCACCATCGACGGGATTGGTATGTTCATTGAGGGGAAGGGGCAAGGGCGCGGCCAGGCGGGGAATCCACTCATTCTCTGCGTATGATGGCCCCGAGAAGATAAAAGCGGCCAGGGTGAAGACACACCGAACGACAACAAGCAACGGTAGGGCAGCAGTGAACCTGTTTTTGACAAGTGAGAGGCGGACATTTCGGCGAGGAACAAGGTACTCCCACAAACCTGGTTGTGGAAGCCTCGCCGTCGCTCTCCTTCGGGCTCGGGGTCCCTGAGCGGTGACTTCGCCAACTCCCCATGCCTGCTGCTGCCGCTACCACCGTCCTTGATGTCGACGTCGATGCCTGTAACGAAAGTCTTTTTCGCGCGTGTGGAGGGAGGAGGGTGTGTGTACTCGCTGAAAAAGTGCGGGCAGCAGCATTTGGTGGCGTGCCTCCCGATGGGCTTCCTCCACGCTGTGGGCGGTAGCAGCAAGCACAACAGCATCAGCAACGGAGGTAGCAGCAACAGCAGCAACAACGGCAGCAACAACGGCAGCAACAACGGCAGCAGCACAGTTCTACGCACGGAGCCCGGGATCAACGGCCGACCTACCTCAGTACCGAGTCCTCCCCGGGATCTCCGCCTCCCGGAAACGCCTCCCGCTCTTTTTCTGAGGGACAGCGGCAAGGGCTGCTGAACGGTGGTCTCCATATGGCTTCGCCTGCCCATATCATCGTACCTGGTGGCGATGCGTTTATTGGGTTGTACTGGAGTGCAGCTTGTCTCTTCCGGACGACAAGGCTTGGCTTAAACAAATTGTCCAAAAGCTGCATGCCCCTGAATATCGTGCCTCAAATGTTTATCGGCAACATTCGTCATGTTCTTCGTTGAGTTAGCCAACAGAAACACAGCTGGCGTTGCGGAGAAGGTGATGACACCCCAGGCGACGGGAGGTGCAACAAGACCCTTCTTGACAAAGAGACGGCCTTGCACTCTTACCTCCCGACAGGCACGGGCGTGGTAGGCTCGGCAGGTGCCCCGCCCTTCGACCTGGACCTCGATTGACCTCCGCCTCCGTCGTGCGAGAGAGAGGCTGGGCCACCCCCGCTTGCCCGACGCCCGGCGCCGCTCTCAAGAGCTTCCCCGCCTCCGCCTCCACCAGCTGCGGCGCTGACCGCTCGCCGGTTCGCCCTGGCCGGAAGCAGGAGTACCCGTTTCGGCATTGGGGTCGGGCGAGGAGGGAGCATGTTGATACACGCGCGGAAGGATGGGTATTGCTGCAGCAGGCAGTAGGCACAGGGTCCTCCGCAGCGTGTTTTCGAAGGGGTGAATCAAAGTCTGCTAAGTTTCGATTGTCCTGCCACGGTGTAGTTACGGGGAGTATGTACCCAGGACTCTGTCTCTATCTTCAACTGGGTAGTTGACAGCTCGTCGGTCTGGTTTGAATGCGCAACGAACTCTAATTGGTGCGTCGTACGGTACTGGCCAGGAAAGGTTGCAAAAGGAGGCAGAGCATGTGGCTATAGAACAGACAATGGAGAAATTGTGCAGAGGCTCTTCAAGTAGCTGTGGCATCTATCCCAGAATCACAGCAAACTCACTGATTTCAGAAATTCAGCAAGACGCAAGCACAGGATGGCGCCCGGTTTTAACCCACCGCCAAACCCAAGCCTACACACCGTCCAATCGTTACCGCAACCCGCCGTGCCCCCCCTTACTTTGCGTTTCTCGACCCTCCGCGCTTCAGAGTAGACAATAGATCGGGGTCCACCACCACCGGGCGACGACCTGAGTATTGATCCCTCTCGCCCCCCCGCCACGCCCCTCCCTCTCCGTCGTCTCCTCCGGTTCTCCTTCCGACGTCAATGGTGTGGCCCATCCCGCGGCTGTTGTCCCACTGGCCGCCCTTCCACAACTCCTGGTCGCTGCCGTCCGTCCCCTCCCGCGGACTTCCCCGTCTCCTGTGGCCTCTGTTGTGGTTCTGATGCTGCCACTCCGGTTTGGCTCCTGGGCCGGAGCTCCCACCTTCGGGTCCCCTCCCCCGCCGCTCCCGCCGGCGCTCGCGGGTCCCGTGTTGGGCATGCCTGCCGCCACCGGCGCCGTCGACTCGGCCCCGGGTTCTTTCGGCTTCTCGATCGTCCTCGGTGTGAAGTCCGGACGGTGACGGTTTCCATCTGGAAGGCTGCCCGCGCCCGATCCTATCCGGCATGTTTTCCGCGTGGTAGGAGCGGTTCTCGCCGGGGACTTGCGGCTCGTCGCCAGTTCTATCCGCCCATGACGGGATGTAGGTGTGGTCACCACCACCCCCTTGCCATTTTTCGCCGTCGGTCCTTCCGCTGTTCGTGCCTAGCACCGGCGAAGACACACGGCGACGCGGACCGCTAGCGCCACCCCTACCCCCTCGGTTGTTGGGTGACAAGTCCGGGTCCGATCCCGTCCCTCCCCTCTCCTCCTCGCTTGCGGTTCTTGTCCGCTGGTAGCCTTGCGCCTCGTACCCACGGCGTCTGCCTTTACCCTCTCGGCCTACACGGTTGCCGCCACGGGCTTCGCCGCCGTTGTCCTCCATCCCTTGATTCTGACCCTGGCCACCGCTTCCGACATTCCTCACCTCCTTTCCCCGTCCTCTCCTGTCGCTGCCACTCACACCTTGGAGGGGTCTCCACGGAGCAACCTCTTCCCGTTCGCCGGCCTCGTTGCTCCTCCAGCAGCGGAGCGCGAACGTCCCTCCCCTTATTCCGCCGCTGTGGTGGTCGTAGCCATTGACGTCCCTACCATCATTACCGCACCTGCTCTCCGAAGCCTGCCGGTGACGTTTCCGATAAATCATGAGATCAGTGTCAACAGCTCCGGGTAGGAAGTAAGTGCTCCCTCGGAATGTGAAGCACGGCATGGCAACTGGTTCAGAACGAACTGCATCAACAGGACCAGGCCAACAGTTTCAGAACGAGCGACATCGATAGGTTGTGACCAAACCTCCTGCTCCAAGCTCGTCGATAGTTCCGCCGCCGCCACCACCGGCCGCCCCCGTCTAGCGTGGGCAGGTGACAAGCGCGTCGTGAGGCCAGCACCGAAGTTGACGATTCCGTCTGGACCGATACTCGGAAGCGAGGACGTCGGGTCGTGTAGCCGGGCCGCCACAAGGCGCCGCGATTCAGTTGACCTACCGCGCAAGGAAGGAAACATGGAAAACGATCAACCCACGCGACACCCGACATAGGAGAGGAAGCGGGACCTTTAGCTCCATGCAGCGGGAAAAATAAGCTTTGAACATCGATGTGGGCGAGACAGTAGGGGAGAATACTGGGAGTCAGCTGTGGCAACCGTTTGGCTGTACCCGGATTCTTGGCACGACATTGTGCCGCACCTAGAACCAAGGCCGAAAAAATTAACTAGTACAAAGGTACCGTTTAGGTTCACCGATGCCACCCCGTCCTGCGATAGGGAGCTTGGACGAGGGCATGTGGACATCTATCCCACACCTGTGCCATCCTGTGGAGCTGGGAAGCTTTCTGAGGAGAGCACAAGAGGCACCCCTTTGAGATCAAGGCCATCACCGACACGTGCCAAGCCAACCACCTACTTATGTGAATGCAAGAAGACGAATCCCCTTGGAGATACAAATATCGAACCTGAGAAGATCCGCTCTCTCTAACACTCGAAACACGTCTATGTCGTTTGTACCCCACATGTTGGCGGCCACAGCGAGCGCCTCCACAGCAGCACGTCGAACCTACGGGGGTAAGGCCACAGGAAAGGCGGAGCGGTGGATGGGAAAGGGCAAGGGGCACGTCTTGACCAGATACGCGTTTCTTGCTGCATTCGAGGTTATGCACGGGGAGGGGAGACATGCCGGACATTCGTATATCCGTGAGTCAGTGTTGGCTCGGACTGAACTTTGGCAGGAAACACGTAAGATTCATTGGAACGACCTAGCTGGGCCAAGCCTTTCGCGTAACGGTCAACCCTCACCTCTGGCCTTTCGTCCGCCAGCAATGACCCCACATCACGCACGAGCTGCTCCTTATCGAGAGTCGACATCATGGCCGCACCACCGTTCTCCCGGCGGCCATAGCCGTGTGCCCCCGATGGAGGCATCGCCGGCGATCTACTCGGGGAATGCAAATGCCTCCTCTTGCTGTCCTTGCTGTTGCCACTACCGGCGCTCCCGCCCTCCCCTCTGCCCGGTCTCCTTCCCCCACTCTGATGTTTGTCTTCTGTCAAGCCTTCGCCGCCGTTTCCGCCCATGAACGTCCCCCTCCCATGGCCCAGCCTCTCTCCATTCACGCCACGACCTGCTGACACCCCCAAAGCGTCGGAACCCACCGATGACGGAGACGAAGGCTTCCAACATAGCAGACCAGCGATCACTAGCTTCGCCACGCCCTCGCTAGCGCGCCAGCCGGCAGAGAGGAGGCCCTCCCGCGCCAGCAGCAGGCGCGGAGTGTCAGAGGCAAGCCCCGAGACGCGCACGACGGCGGAGAGGACCAACATCGCGTGGTGCCTCGTAGCGACCTGAAGATGTGTAGTTTCCGTGTCGTGACGAACGGAGGCCGTTCGTTGGTGAGCGAGTGTCGCTAGTCCAGGGCACTAAGGGCAAAGTGAATTTTATGAATTGTGCAGGAGGTGGGTGCCGTGGGATAGCGAGACAAAGTATTGGCTGGTGGACGAGCAGGATGCACAGGGCTAGTGCGCTGTGCGTCCGGGAAGGCTATTGTGCTGTGTAGTCGTGTTTTCGGCAGATACACGTAAATTTGATGCCATGGGCTGCAAGGTGAAAAGTATTCCTCGGCGAACCCCCAAGCCCAAGTTGGGTGAGTTTTGCAGCTCAAAAAGAATTCGTAGTCGTGCTCACCTTGTGATGCCCGAGTTTCACGATCAAAGGCGGGATGATGAGATCCAGATGCGGTTTTATGTGCTCCCGAACGACAAGCACGAAACCATGCATGGTCTGAAGGGCTAGCAGGGCCTGGAATTGTTTTTGGTGGTGTACGCATGATTGGTTGTAGGGTGCGGTGATCGCAATTTACAAGGAAACAGTTCAACAAACTCCCATCCTACACCTGTTCAAAATATAGACCAAGGCGGTTCGAACAGTTATCAAATATCAGCATGGGGTAATATCCAAGTACCGGTCAAAGGGGGTGGGACTAGACAGTGCAACGTGATGAGGGTTGATAGCAAAACGACCACCGAAAGATGCCGTTGACCTAGGAAGTGGAACGCTGAGACACAAGCTGTATCAGCACCCCTGCCCTTCCGTGAAAAGGCCAGTGATGAAAGGGCCGCAATACGTCAACACAGCCCTCGGCAAAACGAATAGGCCCATCGCGACCAAAGTATGTGCGCCGTATGCAACAACAGCAAAACTCCGCAAGCGCCGCAAGCGGTAATCAAGCTTACCTGTTATCCCTGACAAGAATGACATCAGGGGGGTGACACCTACGGGAGGCGAAGAAGAATGCCATGCCGTAAAACATCGAACGAGTGGATGCACCTCGCCACCTACTAACTCCTCATCAAGCATTGAGACAACCCAACCAACACTAAACGTGACTCACAATTTTAAAGTCCGGGTCGTCGGTCAGGCGCAACATCACCACGAGGATATCTTCCACCATTCCAGTCGGTGGCGAGAACGGCGGCGGCGGGAGGGTGGGCGTTCTCGTTGAATCCGAATCTTGCATTGCTCCCCCATCCCTGCCCGCGGCAAGCATCGTCTCCTTAGAGGTCATTGTTATAGCGGTCTCCATTGCCCTTACCCTGTTTCGCCGCTGCACCCCTGACGTCCCCGACGCGGTCCAATCGACGGCCGCCACTCCCTCGAACTTCGCCGGCGACGTGTGGACCGAAGATCTGCTGCCGCTACCGCCGGCCTTTGCTCCTCGTCCTGCTGCAGCGGCTTCGACTTCGACAAGGGTGCGTAGCAATTCCACAAGAATTGGCGATGAATCGACGGCACCCATGGCGTTGTCTTCGTCGTTGGCCCTGACGGTGGTTGTGGTGGAGTAGGTTTTAGCAGCCGACGAGTGACGATGGCCTTGTCTCGCTGTTGCCAAAGGACCTGCTATTGCCGACTTGGGGGACAGGTTTGCGGTTGACTTTCCTGGTCGTGGAGGGGACAACGAACACGTTTTTGTGGGTGTGGAGAGGGTGGCTGAGACAAACGCCTCACGTTCTGCTGTCGCTGAATGCTTCTCCTTCGCCTCTGGCCTCCCAGAGTCTGGCGGGTGCTGAATCGCCGCCCCTGCCTTGCTCAATGGGCTAGAATCCGGCCGAGGCGGGGGCTTAACTGCCGCCGTTGCTTCTCCGTCATTTCGGTCTCCCCTCTCACGGTCACAGCCACCGCCGGCACCGAGCGCCACTGCTCCTGTCCCGTCTTCCCCTCCCGATCGTTCCATTCCTGCCTTGCCAAGCTTTGGCTCGGCGGCAGCGGCGCAGCATCCAAACTCTTCCTCGCCACCTAGCGTCACCGACACTTCGGTGGCCGCCGGGCCGGCAAGGACTGGCCTCGTCGGAGAGGAAACCAGCCCGGAGTGCTTTCGTTCGTGTTGGGCATGGTGATTGTGGAGTTGGGCGGTTTTTCCGCTGCTCCGGCTACCACTGTCGTCGACGTCCAAGCTGTCGACGCTAATGCTGTTTTTAAGGATTGACTTCTCTGTTGTCTCACGGGTATTAGTGCTTGTGTTGAGGCTACCGTGTGATGATGGGACGAGTCTACTGCTGCTGCCGCTGCTGTCGAGTGTTGTGCTGCTTTTCTTGTTCGACCGTCGTGCTGTTGAGGTTGATGCTGGCGGTGCAGCTGGTTGTAACCCTATTGTCTTCGCCGCTCCGCTGGTGCTCGTACCTCCCGGTGATTCTCTGTCGCGGTCGGCCCACGACGCGACGGTGACACCGTCAACGATGGGCTCAAACGTCGGCCGTTGCAGTCCTTCACCGTCTTCTGTACCGTTGTCACCAGTCTCAACAACGTCGTCGTCGTCGTCTTCATCTTCCTCGTCGTCTTCGTCGCTACCACTGCTGCTGCTAGTGCTTTTGCTGCTTGTGGTGGTGGTGGTGGTGGTGGTGGTGTTGCTGCTGCTACTGCTGCTGCTAGATGACGTTGCGGCTGAAGATTGCGCCAGGTTGGTTCCTTCCTCTTCCGACTCACTCGCGGGAGGAGAGAAAAACGAAGAACAAGCACGGTTGGTCCGGCCCGGCGAATTGACGGTTCCCGCCGTCAAGACCGTCCCCACGGCTGATGCAGCTAGCTCTGGGGTGTCCTCCGGAAGGGATCCTTCATCGGCCACCGCCACAAAACCTTTCTTGCCTGGAAGACCCTCGTCGTCAGCGGTGGTGTCCCTGGTTCTGGTGGTGCTGCTACTCTGACGCTGTATCCTTGCGCTGTAGTGCTGGAGGGTCTGTTTGTGTACGGCATCTAGACATGCCTCACCCTCTCGAAACCTGGGCGAAAACAAGTGGGACCGGTTTTTTCATTTCGAAATGCTCCTTCCATGTCAAACTTGGCGGGGCTTCGATGTAGTGAATCGTATCACGAATCGACTGTTGAATACATGGGTCCTCTCAAAAATGTCAGCTCGTTGTTGCACATCTTCAGGTTCTGGGCGGTCCTTGGCTGAAGTACTAGTTGCTCAAGCTATGTGCTTCACCGTGCCCAATGTCATCCTAGCTCTAGGGCCGCCTCCCGTACTACTGTACAGCTCTCGTTCAACGTCGCGTTTTGACGTAGCAGAACACTCGCCGGTGTACCTTTCACTGTGCTCTTACGTGGCGGGCCCTGCGCTGAACATCTTCCCGAGAGCGCCCGCGGCCGCGTTCACCACGTCTTCGTCCACGTCTCTCATCCTCCCGACCAGACCCTTCAAGAGAGACCCGTACTCTCGCTTATCCAGCACCATCAGACCTCGTGCCTTGTTTCAGGAGCCGCCGGCGCCGTCGCCAGATCACACCAAAGTCGAGTGTGAGAGACGGAAGAGATAGTTAAGAGAACAAAGCTCATGGGAGGGGGCGTCGCGTTGGGATGTCATACTTACTTCGTACGCGACTCGTTTCTTGTCGCCAAAGTGTTTCGCGATCGAAGTGAACCTAGGCCTCCCCCCCCGCGCCCCCTCTCTCTGCATCTCTCCCTCTCCCATTCTCGTCTATCGTATCCTTGTGGTCCGCCGGCGTCCGAGCACCAGGGAACCGGCAACACATACCCAATATTTGCTTGATCGTACAAATTGCGGCCCCTCACCTGATCGCCACCCAACCATCACCCCAAAACTGTGATACAGGGAGCCCACCTTTACTAGCGCCCATCGAAGTGCGTCTGTCCAACACCAGCAACACCAGCAACAACAACAACAGCAACAGCAACGGCAAAACCACAGTGGTGCCCCCTACGGGTTCGTTATGAGTGTCTCCAGTCACCCACCATGAGACGTGAAGGTACCAGCGTACTCCACAGTCTGATAGATGCCTCATCGTGCTCCATACCGTGGTGAACCAGCTGGTGAACCAGGATCGACCGCACATCTGGTAGCTGCTGACACCGTCGCCGCCGCCAGCGGAATGAGTTCCAAGACGTACATGAATAGGTTGGACACATGATAATTGTTGGTGCCGAAAGGGGAAGCGAACTAACGCACCCCCGTGGGGTCACACTTGGTTGCCCAAACACAAGGGGTTTCGACTGTTTAAGGTCTGACGATTGACACCATACAATTTTCCCCCAATGATTGGTACATCTGGTGTACCGTGGCTGTCCCGCCGGTTAAGACATGATTTTCGAGGGTGTACAAACCTCGGGCATACAGGGAAGGTCATCACAAGGGATTTCCAGCAGCCCCTTGTGCTGGAACCAATCAAAACCGTGCTACGGCGCTAATGATGATCAGGTTGTTCCAGTATTGGAGAAAAACGAACAAGTGATAAACAGCGCGCAAAATCGATCATTGGTCAACTATCGCCAATCTGCTGAGGACCCCGCTGCCAAAGGCGGCGAAGATCTGAAGAATAACGGTGAACTCAGAAGAATTCACCCAAACCCAAAGGTGCACAGAACACAGCATCCTCCGCTTCGAGTATCTAGTCGCTTGCCTCCTCGACGGCAAACTTGGCGAGAACATCCTCAGCGGGAGCGCGGAGGCGGTCCCTGGAGAAGCAGTCTATCACGACCGGCACAGTGGAGGCCACGCAAGCAGTGGCGGCATGGGAGCCGTGCCCAGAAGCGTTGGGCTGCGGCGCCATTGCCGCCTTGGTCTTCGAAGGAGAATGCGTTCCGCTCTGAACTACCTCCGTCTCTAGTTCGACCTGCGATCGCGTCTGGCAAAGCCAAGACACGGAATCTTTCAGCACAGACAAGCACTCGAGAGCCACCTGCATCACCAGTTCAGGGCGGGAAACGGGACAGACGCAAGTGTGTTTCAAGGACGAAGGTAGGGGACGACGTGAAGACGGGCACAGATACTCCACGTTTGGGTGCACCATGCGGCTGATGACAATTTTCGGAACAATGCTGCACTTACGTTGAGGGGGATCGAGCTGCCAGCGAAATAAAGCGCTCGCACAAAGTGCTCGTATCCGAATCGATGAATTCGCCCATTTTTAGAGCGTGAGCTGTTTACGTAGATACGCAGAGCTCGTATCCTCAGTAGAGCTTTATGGTACCCTAAAGCGTCTTACAGCCTTCGCTCGATACACACGCATGACAAACACTAGGCTCGTAGCAAAAAGTATTTCGGGATTTTCACGTCGGTAATCACTCAGGCCCTATTGTTCGTGCAGGATGCTCATGAGGAGCCCTGCTCCATGTCTAGATTGCTTTCGTCCTCGTCGTAATAGCCGAGATGCACCAACGATATCGGCAAACATGGACACAACGCAGTTGAAGCACCACGCCCATCGTGCCTTCTCCGATTCCGACTGGTCCACCTCATCAGACCAACTGGGATCGTTTCACACCCCAAACGAGCTGGGCCTAGTACAAGGCATTTCTGTATGAAATCTTGATCAAGTCAGAGTTGCGCTGTCAAAGCCACCTGTTCCGAGCCTGGCTGATTGCCTGTGTTCTGCTCCAGCAGTACTCGAACCCCTTTGAACACCGTAGCCGCATCTGGCGCGAATGAGCCCCGCCGGCCAACGCCATCGCCACTGTGGACATGAGCCTCGTCTCCCTCCGACCGCCGCAACACCCCGTCGACTCTAGCCCCCTTCCCAGTATCTGCAGTCGTTGCCGTCACAAGCGCTCGGATGCGGCCGAGCGAGGCAAGGTTTGCTGCGACGGATGGAGGTTGATCTCCTTGCTTTTGGTGCTGCTGTACCGAGAATGAGGAGCGTGTTTCTGCATGCAGCGGGAGGGGTGTTTCGTTTGCGGCGCGAGCAGAGCAAAGAGGGAGAGAGAGAGAGAGCGAGAGAGAGAGAGAGAGAGAGAGAGAGAGAGAGAGAGAGAGAGAGAGAG